AATTTTATCAGCTTTTCGTAAATACCTTCAACGAATAGCAAATCGGGCTGTGATAGTAGATTTGTTTAGAAAAATACTTAAGCTGTTTGCTTGGGCCCATACAGTTTTCACCGTTAATTTACAGGTTCGAAGCAAAAAGGCTTAACAGAAATTGAGTTAGCCGAAGGAGTGAAAATTCAGCTTGCAATTATTCTCGACAATATTTGCGATATCCAGTTACGACATCGCGTGGAATCATTGATTTCATTTGCTGCTGGCTTTGTTGGTGATTTACAACAAGATCAATGCGCAAGGTCAGTGATTAATTAATAAAAATCACATGGCTTATAAAAGTTAAGTTTTGGCTCCTTAACTCACTTCCTAAGAAAGGCTGAGGCAATCGAAGGTAGCCCGGGCAACAACTTGTGTCAGTGCTTCTGATCAAGCTGTTACTGGAATTATTTTCCGAAAGTGCTTGTAAGCGAAAGCCAGTTTGAATTCACTCTTTTGTATTTTTTCTCTGGGAAAGGTGAGAGTTTTTGATCGTTTGACCTTAATGTTTGATTTTAATGTTGTTGCCTTAAATTCGTTTCGAATTTACGGTACATCAAAATCGAAAATTCTTTTTAATAACTTTTGGCAGTTCGAATTTGGGTGTAATTGTGGCATTTGTTCACTGAAAGGTTACTTTTGAGCTATTAATTTCGCCGCCTTTTCTAGGTATATGTCTATAAAACAAACAGATATGTCACCAGCTGAAGCGGCTAAGCGTACCAAAGAATTCAGATGTCCACCCAGAGAACAGGTAAACCAAGCACAGTTCATGTACATTTGAATTGCAAATATCAGTCTTCTCTTGAAATGCCATTTATTTTTCTTAGGAATAATAAGTAACAGCCCGTCGAAGACCGAATCAAAAACGCACGGTCCAGGTAGGGCGGCCGAATTGGGTTAAATCGATAAAAAAAATTTCTTACTGCCGCTGGTTAACATGCAAAATCCATAAGTTTTAACAGATGTTTTTAGTAATAAGTTGCTAACAATTCAGTGCGAGTTGGAAATAAACAGTTTACTTAAAGATGATGTTTCTTTCGTGTCGTTGTTCCTGTTAATTAATTAATTACACAGATGTTCCGACTGTTGAAATGCAAAGTGGTGCAGGATAG